TAATAAACTGAAAGACAAGTATTATGCAATTGAAATTGACCCCGACCTTACAATCAAAGAAAAATATCCATACATGATTGAATGGCAAGTTTCTTACTTAATTTTACTATATGTTATTCAAATTAGGGCAGCACTGTAGTTCTCTGGTATAGTTTACTAAGAAGCCAAAAAATAATGTGTTTGAGTTACAATATTAAACATCCCTCATTATGTATAATGGAGATGTGGCTGATTTTACAGTAACCAAGATCACTGACGTGCAAGTCATTTACAAATGTTATTATAATAAACAATTCAGATATTTGCTTTTAAATTTAATTTGACCTTGTCCAGAATATAAAGCTGCTAGTAGGTGATTGCTGGTGGATTGAAATTGATTTTTACATTTTAATGTAATATTACTGAATAAATCCAGTGACTGACTGAAACATTACAACATATCAAGGAAAGTAGAGGATTCTTTGTCTGTGGCAACAGCCCTGTGTTTTCAGTGTTGCTCTCTGTACATGCCTAGTTGGGTTTCTTTCTAATTTATGTAAAACCTGCCTTATATACAGAACCTAACCCAGTGGTGGTCACCTTTCTTGATATAGGGGGCCTCAAGAGTGCCCTAGTACATCCACAAAGGGTTGCACAAAGTATTCATTGAATATAATGCTGCAAAAAGCTGTCAAGAGACTGCAGACATGCAATATAAAGATGATGGTCAAAGACTACAGGCATTCCTACAAAAGATGGTCAGAGACATGCTTCAGGAGATGGTCAGAGACTGCAGACATGCTGCAGGAGATTGTCAGAGATTGCAGACATGCTACAAAATATTGGCAGAGATTGCATACATGCTACAAGAGATTGCCAGAAACTGCAGACATGCTGCAGGAGATTGTCTGAGACAAAAGGCAATGCTGCAAGAGATTGTCAGCAACTGCAGACATGGTAGTTGTTGGAGACCAAAGATTTGCAAAAGGAGACAGTCAGGTGGGAGATGCATTACATGAGACTGCTTAAAATCACTGCATCGGCCTCTTTATAAAGTAAATATGTCTACATTTGTGCTCCCTACAACCCCCGTAGAGTTACTTGTGACACATTTGATATTTCTCTGAGCAAGATCCATTATTAAAAATCAGCAGAATAAAAAAAAGGGGTGGACAGATCAGAAAAAAATGTAAGCTAGTGTGAAGGATGTAAACCAAGCTATGTAAAGGAGTTGTGAAGTCCCAGCATATATCCTCTCCTGTTATAACATCGGCATTGTAATAGGAATACATACTGGAGTTGTTTTTTAATACAGCAATCAAAGCTTACTTGAGAAAATCCCTTCCAGGTATATAATTGTTTTTGTTTTTTGACCAACGATGCTCTTTACCTACTAGAACTCAGTCTAACGAATATTTTCCTTCACTGGCCTTAGTTCGCACCCCGACAAGAGAAACACAGACATCTACAGGGCCCCAAAGGCCAAAGGCTTGGCACCAGCAACCTAACCCTTACCAAAACGTCAGATTAGAAATGCACCGATATCGATACTAGTATTCGTATCAGTGCTGATACCGAGTATTTGGGCGAGTACTCGTACTCAGACAAATGCTCCCGATGCTTTTCCCGCTACCAAAACTTCCAGTATAAGGAAGCTGGTTGTTGAGTCATTACACGCCGCCCGACTTCCTGATCGACCAGGAAGGAGTCACCAGGGAGCATGGAGCTAGCTTCCCGGCCAATCAGGAAGTCAGTGGGCAGGTAATGACCCCCCCCCCCCGACTTTCTGATTGGCCGGGCAGCTGGCTAAATAGGAAGCCTGGCAAAGAGTCGTTACCCGCCCCCCAGCTTCCTTATTGGCCAGAAAGCGGGCTCCAGTGCTGATACCGAGTATTTGGGCGAGTACTCAGACAAATGCTCCCGATGCTTTTCCCACTACCAAAACTTCCAGTATAAGGAAGCTGGTTGTTGAGTCATTACACGCTGCCC